GAAAATTTTTCAAAGTTAAAAATATTGAATATGAAACCAACTAAACCCTTAACTGCCCGCGAGCAAGTCCAAGTAGATAACTTTTTAACCCAATTTGGTTTTAAACCCAAAGAGGATGAATAATTATGAATAAATATCAACTCCTAATTCGAAAAATTTATCTTTGGCAAAAAGTCCCTCACTACTCCACTTTTAATTTCAGTCCCCTAGAAATAGAATTAATTGCTGATGCCTTAGAAACCGTTCAGTTTTTAGAAATAATTCTTGAAGCCAGAAAGAAAACAATGGAAAATTATGTATAATCTAAAAAGAAATAATTACAATTTAAAACCCAAAAACTCAACTATTTACACTCCACCCGAAGTAAGTCAGTTTATTTTTGCATTATTGAAAGATAAATTTCCCACCAGCAGTGTGATTTTAGACCCTTGTTGTGGAAAAGGGAGTTTATTAGCCCCCTGAGAACAGGCTTGCTATCCTGTTTATGGAATTGACCTTAAAGTTCACAGCCCACTCTATTCGGTTCAAGATTTTTTAACTTGGGATGGAATAGATGGCGACCTTTTGAAAGCAATGAAACCAATAGTTTATAAGCCTAATCCTCAATTAGTCCTCTGCAACCCTCCTTTTAATGGCTATGGCAGCCAATTAGGCAGTGAAGTCTGATTAGCCAAAATAATTGAACTTTTTGGCAAAGATATTCCCATAATTTTATTTGCCCCAGTCGGATTTCGGTTAAATTTAACAACCAAAAGTCAGCGGTGGCAGAAATCTATCCAAGGAACTTATCCGCCAATCAGTAGCATTATCAGTTTACCCAAGAATGTTTTTGAAGGAGTTATTTTTCATTCTGAAATATTAATTTTCAATGTCAAGGGTCTGAAAGGTCATTATTTTTATAAACCTCATGAATAAAGAAAATAAAAGACCCAATGAACACCGAGCCTGATTTGTAGATAAGTCAGTAATTAACTTTTTATGAGCCAAAGGCTGAAGTTGCTGTCAAGCCGAAGCCTGTGATTGATGACATTATGTTAATCAAAACCTAAAAAAAGACCTTTTTGCTAGCGAAACAGAGTGAAAAGATTTTAAAGAAAAAGGTCTTTACCCCGCCAAGCATAAACAAAATTGAGCCAAATTAAGCACCTCAGCAAAAGCCGAAATTGAAAAAGAATGTTGAAACAGTTCCAAGAACCAATGATATCCGGAAAAACTTTTGACCTATACTTTGAAAAAAGTTAAGCAACAGAATCATGAAAAATCCTAAATGCCTTGCTTGCCGAAATAGAACCGAACTAATTATTTGCTATTGCTCCGAACCCCAATCGCAATATTTTTGTTGAACTTGTCGAAAGCATTATCCACTTCCACCAAAACAAATATGAATAAATTTAAAGAAATCACCAACCAAGAATTATTAAGCGAATTAAGAACTAGAATTATTGCCGGAATCATTGAAGTTGAATGAGAAGATACTTGCGGAGATAGTTCTACTATCACCAATTTATCTACCCGCATTAGAGGAAAAAACTGATTTTGTCTCAATTTTGACGAAGTTCTCACCGAATATGACCAAACAAAAAAGTTAAAAAAACTATGCCTAAATCTAAAAAACTCCACCGAAAAATCGAAAATAAATTAGAAAAATTAAGTAAATTAATCGACCAAATTGAAGAAGCCCGAATCATTAACTCCAATGACCCCGACACCTGAGACTCCGATGCTCTTTATAATTTGGTAGAAAACTGTAAGGAAATCCTAACTCTTTTAGAAGACCAACTAATTAAAGGCAAATTGGATGAATTGGGTCAGCCTTTTTATGAAGAGGGTTTATGCTCTTTAATGGATAATTATTGAGCCGAGGAAGAAGAAACCGATTTTTAAACTATGCTAGCTTTAATAATCTTTTCGCTAGTTGGCGGAATAATAATCGGCTTAGCCTTGGCTATTCTATCCCTCTGACTAATCAAAATTAAATGTCCAAAATGTAAACAATTAAAACCTTTGCCGGAAATAATTCGCTTTCGGGGAAAATTCAGACAAATAACTGGACAAATTTGCCAAAAGTGCCAAAGGCCTAAACCGCAAATAGAACTCTAAATATGAATTGAACTGCTTATTGAACTTTAAAAAGAATTAATCAGCCCAAAGCAAATATTATTACTTTATCAAAGAAACCGAGACAATCAAATCTCATTTGTCCGGCAAAAAGCATCAGCAGAATTGAAAAATTTATTCAGAAAGAAAAAATTTAGCCTAAAAAAAATATATAATTCACTCTGAATTAGGAATAAATTAATATAATTCTAAAATATTATGCGACTAAGAGAAAACATAAATAAACAAAAAGAACCTCTAATAATCTACAAACACCAGCCCCGAGTTTTAAATTTGGAATGTAGCAAGCAAGAAATTACCGCTTTATTAGAAGATGGGAGAAGATTGAGTATCCCCAATACTTGATTTACTAAACTAAGAAAAGCCACTTTAAAACAGTTAAAAAATTACCGTATTTTACCGGATGCTTATCATATTCACTGACCGGAACTAGATGAAGATATTAGTTTGCGGGTGTTTACAGATGGCTTAGAAAGCGGTTGTTGTTAAAATATGCCAACTATTAAAGGTTTTGAAAAAAAGAAAGGTTTTCGCTTTTTCTTTACTTCGCATGACCGAGGAGAAAAACCTCATATTCATGCCGAAGGTTCGGGAGGAATTATGAAAGTCTTATTAAAGGATTTATCGGTTGAATATTCACGAGGACTAACTTATACCGAGGAAAGAAAAATCTTAGAAATCGTGGAACAAAACCGCGGATTTTTTATTAAAGAATGAAGAAAATTTTTTAAAAATTAAATATGACAAACACCCAAATACTAGTAGTAGTTTTAATTTTGCTAGTTCTTTATCTGATTTACCAGCAAAAGCAGGCTAATTTATTAAATTTTCACTCTAATTCTGAAAACCGATTCCAACTCACTAAATTAGAGCAAGAAAGAAACCATTACCAAACCCTTTACCAAAAAAGGGTAGAAAAAGATTTAGCCGCCGACCAAAGCGAAAAAATTAAGCAACTTACCCTAAATATTCAAGATTTAAAAAATAATTTAGCCGGAGAAAAAACAGAAAATAATCTTTTTCAGCAAAAAGTAAGCGATTTAGAAAACTCTTTATTTTCTTTGGCAAAAAGTAAATTAAAAGGCAAAGTCGAATATTTAAAATTGGTAGAACAGTTAGAGCAAAATTATAAAGATAAAGAACAGTGAATAACTAAAAAAAGGAACAATTTATTAAATAAATTAGATAATTATTTAGCAAAATAATAATATTATGGTAACTTTACAAGAATATTTGGAGCAAAAGTATCCGACTAAGGAGGATAAGGAGGGGGTGAGGGAGATTGATATTTCTGATATTTATAACAGAGAGAGAGAGAGAGAGACAAAAATTTTGAATTAGAAGAAGGTGAGTTAGATTTAAGGGAGTTTAAGAATTTGGAGAAATTGGTAGTTGATAATTCAAATATAACCAAATTAAATGTTAGTGGTTTGGTTAATTTAAAGGAATTAGATTGCTCTGATAATAATCTCGCCTCCATAGACTTCTTAAACCAATTACCTAATCCCGAAAAGTTAAAAAATTTAGAGATTTACAGTAACAATATCCAACCCACCGATATTGAGATATTTAGTAAATTTGTTAATTTAAGAAGATTACAAATAGGAACTACGAAATATGGTTTAGAAAAAGGCAAACACAATAAATTCTACGGCTCTCTTAAATCTTACCAAAATTTAACCAGACTTGAACAAATTTGTATTGAAGCCACCGATGTAAACGAAGGATTAGAATATTTACCAGAGAGTTTAGTCCAAGCAACCAAAGGAGGAAAATATGGAAATATCGAATGCTCTCCTCATAACACCAACGCCAAATGCTCGGCTATCCAAAACCAACTCCGACCATTCGATTATGACCTAGAAGCCTGACAGTTAGCCCATCCGGAGAAAATGGTAAAAGTCTGAAAAGAAAAATACCAAAATAAAGTCCAATTAATCACTGAATTAGAAACTAAAATCACCCAAACCAAACAAGAATTAGACACAGTAAAAGCCCGAGAAGCCGACAAAACCGCTAAAATTACTCGCTTAGAAAATAAACTAAATTTTTTAGAGCAAACTAAAACTCGCTTAGAAACTGAACTAGCCCAAGAACAGCAACAGCATAATCAGACTAAAACTAATTTCCAGTCCCAATTACGGGACTTAGCCACCATACTTTATCCCGATAGCCCTTTTCCTACTAATATTAATTTTGCTGATTTTAAAGGTTGGGTCGAAGAAACTGTCCAAGAAGTCCGTGAAATTCAAACCCGAACTGAGAAAAAATTAGCCGACCAAAAAGAAGCCAATGCTCTTGCTAATCAAAAAATAACTGATTTAGAAAATCAATTAATTAATCTCGCCCGCCAAAAAATAAATAACCAAAAAGAAGCCACCCAATTATTAAACCAATTAGAAATCAATTGAAAGGCTGATAAAGAAAATATTATCAATCTCCAAGCAGCCTTAGTCGAAGAAAAAGAAGCTCGCCAAAGAAGTTTTGAAAATGTCAAAGCCCAATACAGAAAAGTTTTCGAAAGGAATAATAAGGAAACAGAACTAGTTCAACAAAAAAATAAAGAGTTAGCAACCAAAATCTCAGAACTAGAAATCTCCTCCCGAAATCAAACTGAATTAACTGCCAAACAAATCACCCAACTAGAAACCAGCAATCAGCAATTATTAAAACTTCTCCAAGCCACTGAGCAAGAATTAACTAATACCAAAAACCAACTAACTCAAATTCAAGCAAAATTAACCCATTTAGAACAACAAAAGACTCAAACCAACCAAACCATTACTAATTTAGAAAGTCAAATTGAAGTTAAAAAAGGTGAATTACAGCAAGGAAAAGATACCAACAATAAATTATTCTCAGAACTAACCACTGCTAAAAATCAATCAACTACTAACCAAGAAAAAATTAAGCAACTCCAATCTAAAATCAAACTCTTAGAACAGCAAAAAGAGACTTACCGAACTAAATATGATAAATCGGTTGAATTTATTAGAGAAATCCGAGAAGATATTGCTAAAATGTAAAAATAAATAATGATTATTACTTGAAAAAGCAAAAGGGAAAAGAGATTCTACCGTGATTGAGAAGATATTAAGGAATGAAGGAGTTATCGCAAGGAACTGCGTAGAAGTCTGAGGGATTTAGATGCCGCTACTTCTCTGAAAGATTTATCGGCTCTTCCTGGTAATCGTTTAAGAAAGTTAGAAGGTAAGTGAAAAGGTTATTATCGAATTTGGGTTAATAAACAGTATCGCATTATTTTCCAATGAAGCAAAGATAATAACGCTCATGAAGTAGAAATAAGCAAGCATTACGAATAAAATTAAATATTATGGTAAAGAAAATAGAACCAATTCACCCGGGGGAAATGTTAAGAGAAGAGTTTTTAATCCCCGCTAAACTCACTCCTCAAAAATTAGCCCAAGGAGTTAACATTCCGGTCGAAGAAATAGAAGATATTTTAGAAGAAAAAAAAGATTTGTCAACTGATATGGCTTGTCGTTTAGCTCTTTATTTTAGAATGTCCTTCGACTTTTGACTAAACTTACAAAAAGCCTATGAATTAGATTGTTGACAACAAAGGTGAGAAGAAAGAGCAAAAGGAGAAGTTCATCCTTTGCCTCGTCCCAAAATTTCTCTTCGTTTAAAAAAACCCTAATCTTCTCCGAACAAAATACGCTCTTTTGTCGGTAGTTGCTTTAAAAATCTAAGCAACTGCTAACCAAAATAATCTAAAAGGTAAGAAGTAAGCCGGTAAAGGTTGGAAGTAAAATTTAGTATATGGTCAAAAAATCTTTAACTGTTCTTCCCACTAACCAACTTTTACAGCAAGTTTGGGATTATCTAATTTCTAGACCTCCTAAAAAAGGCGAATATAAAAAATTAGTCCATGAATGCCTTTATCTTTTAGGCTGAAAAGTTGGCTTGCGAATTAGCGAAGCCATTAATTTTGATTTAAATTTAGAACACCAGCAAGCCGAATATAAAAATCTATATCTTTTACGCGGCAAAAGAGATAAAGAACGTTGAGTCTATATTGCTCCGGAAATAGTGAAAGAACTTAAAAAAAGATGCTGAAAGCCTAATACTACTAATCGAATTAGTTTCTTTGATTGCTTAGGCAAACTAAAAAAAGAAATGAATATTGCCCAAAATATTGAATTATCACTCCATACTCTCCGCAGATGCTTTGCTACCCACCAAGCCATTTCCGGAATGCCTTTACCAGTTTTGCAAAAAGTATTAGGGCATAGCAAAGTATCTACTACCGCTTTATATATTCGGGATGGCGATTTAGGAAATTTGGTTAAATTTAGACCGGTCTAAAAAATAATATGAAGTATATGGTTAGTAAAATAATAAATATATCATGGTAGTTCAAAAAATTAAATTAAAGCATTTGAATATTGAACCTTTATCAGTAGCCAAGTATTTTTATGGAAAAGGTGTAGAAAATTTTTCAATTAATCAGGATTTAATCTATCTTGCTTATTTGGAAGCCCTCAAAGATGGTTATTTACTTTTTGAAGAAGAATGGCAAGCTTGACCAAATGGACCAGTAACAAAATTAGTGATTGATAAAATGTTCGATAATTATGATAAACTCAGTAATTTTTTTGCTAAGATAGAAGATTTAGACAATGAACTAGCCATTAGTTATGCTGATGAGGTTTTCAAAAAATATCATAAAACTGAACCTTATATCCTTTCTCAAAAAACCCAAAATAAACCTTGAAAGGATGCTCGCAAGTCGCTTAAATCAGAAAGAGAAATTTCCAGTATTGAATTGGCTAATTTAATCAAGTTTACCAATGGCAAAAGAACCAAAACAGTTTAAATGATTATAGTTTTTGATAAGTTGTTTACCGAATGTGTTCATGACCCAGATTTACATAATCGGCTTAGGGAAAACAATCTCCGTTCTTTTTTCTCTTGACTAGTTCGGGCTTTTGGTGAATTTAATGATTTGACTTTTAAAGAGATTAGCCAAAGTCGCAATTGTCACTTTGTAAATTATAAAACAGAGGTAAAAATTGTTGACTTCTTTAAAAAATATGCTAAAAAAAGTGAGATTAAGTCATTTGTTTATCACTCCAAAATTTACCAGTTATCCATCCCTAACACTGAAATTCGTTTAATTGGTGCTTTACAACCCAACTACTTTCATGCCAAAGAAAAAGCCTACAACGACTTATTCTCAGTTCTTTTCATTGACTTCGACCACTCTTTACATAAAAATATTAGAAAAACAAAGACGAAGGAGCAAGAATTAATCTGCATTATGGAAGAAAGAGATTGTAATTAATCCTTCCGGCAAACTTTAACTTTTAATCTAACTAAGTTTTCAGAAAAAAATAAATTTCCCACTCTTCCACTAAAATTTTTTCAAATCTAACTCAAAAAATTCACCCAACAAAAAAATGCCTTTTGTTCACTCTCCCAGCAAACCATTTTTGTATGTAGTTTTATATATAGATTTTGAACCTCCACCCCTTCCCAACCAAACTCCTAAAATCAAAATATAGCCTTGTAATCTTCCTGGTAAAAGAAACCTTTTTCAGAAAAAAAATATTGAAAGCTCTCCTGAGTAATCGGCAACTTTCCAGCTCTCCTCCGTTTGGAGCAACTGAAAATAAATATTCTCTTTCTGAACTCTCGCCTAGTAAAAGAAATTCATTAAAAAATCAAAATGATAAAACCTACTCAGCAAGAATTAAAGCAAGCTTATCAAATAGTCAGCCAAGATTTAGTTCATAACCTCGCTAAAATCAAAGATGGTGAAGGAATTCGCCTCAATAATTTCGGAACTTTTGTCAAGACTCGTCAAAAAATTAAAGATTGAGATAAAAAAAATCATGTTTACTGACGGATTAGTTTTCGAGCGGCTAGTAATTTAAAAAGAACCTTAGCATAAAAATAAGATGGATAAAAAATTTATTTTAATTGGAATAGCGGCACTTTGCATCGGACTATATTTTTATGGTTCGGCAGCCAAACAAAACAGTTATCTGAAACATTTACCCACTATCGGAGGTTTAGCCTTCGGTTTAAACACCCTAGTTAATTTAGCCCAATAATAAAAACAATATGAATAACTTTTTTGATAATCAGCCTAATAACCAAAATCAAACCCAACCTAATTCGCCCGCTCAGCCTCCCTTTTCTTCTGGCCTAATGCAAATAGTGGGAGCAGTTTTACCTGCTTTACTGGAACATTTTACCGGACAAAAGATGAATACGAATGGCAATGGTGCGGAAATGCAACTGGTTTTTTCACAATTACTAAATGTGCAACAGCAAATATTAACTACCCAGCAAGCCTTTAATCAAAGACTAACTGCCTTAGAAAGCAATGCTTCCCAACAACTAAATAATTTAACCCAGCAAGTCCAAAGTATTAAATCTATTCGTCTCTCCCAAGAGAAAAAACAAATTGATTTTAATTTACAGTCGGAAAATGAATCTAATCAATACTAATATGAATTTATTCACTCCGGATCTCACTCCTTTAATTAGAGAAATCCAAGCCTTCAAAATTAACCAACAAGTCCAGCAAGCCCAAATCATCGCCCTTTTACAAGAACAAAACCAAATATTAAAATTATTAACCAAATAATATGACCCCTAGAATAATCGAAAAAAAAGAATCTAAAAGTGGTTCTCGCAGAATCGAGAACATTGATGTAGCTCAACTCGAATATACCGCTACTACTATGTTTACCTATGGCACTATTGCCATTTCAGTGGTGGCTATTTATGCGGCTACTTTTTATCTCTTTATTAAACAATTAAAAAAAGACTAAAATTATGACAAATCCAAATTCAGAAAACGAAAATACATTACAATCCTGAGCCACTGGTAAATTGGCTATGTTCGCCATTGGTTTAGCAGCCGGAATATTCCTCTACAAAGCTGGAATAATCCAAAAAGTAACTAGCAAATTATTTAACCGAAAAGAGAGCGAATAAATTTTATTACTTTTTAAAAAAAGTGATAGGAATAATTACTCTCTATTAAAATTATGACTGACCTGAATACTCTCCAACTCAAAGAAATCATCACTACTACTTTCCAAGAACTTCTAACGCAGCCCACTAAGTCCGTGATTTTACTCTGAAAAAATACTAATCCGCAATATCCTAACAGTTTCATCCTAAAACAGGAAGGCAAGAGATATCTCGGTTTAGTCCGCACCGACCGCAATGGCGAGACTTATTGAAAATTTCGCCAATTAGGAACCGAACTAGCCACTGATAAGATTAAGTCGGAAACCAACCCGGAAAATCCTAATTCCATCCCTGTAATGGATAACTTGACTAAGTTTAAACAACGTCAAGCCAAAACCGAACAAATTAATCATGCTAAGTCCAAACAAGCCGAGCAATCAATTAATAATTCCCAATCTAATTAGCACGGTTCAAAATTTAAGCACTAGTTTACAAGCCATTCAGCCCACTGATAATAAGAATACTAGGCTAATTACCTATGCCCTAGTTGGCACAGTAATCGCCGGCTTGGTAGTTTATCATTATGTTAAGCAACACGAAAAGAAAGAAGTTTACTCCGAACTTTCTTAAAAATTAAGAAAATAATTAACCATGGCAATCAAAGATTATTTACCCGATTTCAAAGGAGCCTTAACTGGTTTTTATGAAGAAAATGTTAAAGAAACCGTGGAAACCAAAACCCAAGAGTTTAAGCATTTAATTCAGCAAAATGCCGCCATCGGTCAGAATACCCAAAGAGCCTTAATTGCCATCGCTTTCGGAATTTTCTTACTGTTGGCTCTGGCTTATTTTTGAAAAGACTAGTTTTTGACTCGTAGGAGAAATATTACCCAAATTAACTAAAATTTATGCCAAACTTAAAATACATTGCCTTAGGAATATTGGTCGGATACCTCGGACTTTATGTCTACGAATTATCAACCACTAAACCATCCAAATAAATATTATGTCACAAAAACAATCTTCCATTTTTAGCACTTGAAACATTATCTTTTATTCTTGCTTTTTCCTCCTTGGCTGTTATGTTCGCCATTGAATCAATACCGGCACGGGACAGTTTAAGCGATTAGCAAATTATCTTAACTAAAAATTATGTCGGGATCTACTATATTTTGTATAGCAATGTCTATCCTGTGTGGCTTTTTAGCCCAGCAAACCATCGAAACTTTAATTAATACCTCCCTAACTTTACTACCCTTTAATATCCGCACTGTTTAGCCTAGTAAAAGAAAAGGATTTTTGCTTAATTCCTCCAAAAAAGCAACCAACTAAAAAATATGTTCCGACAAATCAAAGAATCTAAATATACTTACTTAGCGATTGGCATTTTGGCTGGCTTTGCCGCCGCTTATGCTTATACTAACTATTTTAAAAAAGACTAAAAAATTATGCGAATAATTAAAAACAAAAAAACCACTAAATCAGTAGTGGCTAAAACTACCAAAAAAAAAACCAATTTACCGGCAATTAGAACGGCCAAAGTCCATTCCAAAAAAACTAAGCAAAATCCAGTTGAATATTACAATTGCCTTTTAACCCAAGCCCAAAATAATTGATTAGACCCGCTATCCGGAACTAAGAAAAAAATAACTGCTTGCTGTAAAGAATGTAAATTAAATGCTCCGGCTTTAAATAGTTCTCGCAATTTAGAACTAAAAAAGCTGATTAGTTCCTATCAGCAAGTCGGAACTAGTTTAAAAAAATTACTCCAACCAATTAAATAAAATGCAAAAAGAACCGCTAATCTTACTAACTGGTATCGGTCTAGTAGGCTATGTAGTTTTTCACGGCCACCGCCTAAACCAAGAATGCTGACTATGCCCTTATAAAGGAATTACTTTTTTGGGCAGTTCAGTCGTCTTAGGAACTTTTTTAGCCGTAAACGAAAATTAAAAAATTATGATTACTTGCTGCGAAATTGCGATTACCCTCGCCTTTACTAATTTACTGTCTTTGGCTATTTTTGCGGGCTATACTATCCGAGTTAGCCAGCGAACTCTCCAATTAGAGAAAAAAAATGGTAAAGAACAGCATCAGCTAGATGAACTTAAAAAAAAGATTGAACAATTAGAAAAAAAATAATACCTTCCTTGGAAGAGTATTAAAATTTTACCGACCATGGATAACTGTCTCCTTTGCCAAAAAAGAAAACCATTCTTGAATGCTAATATCTGCTTTATTTGCTCCTTTACTAAATTACCTTAAATATATGATTATCTACTTATTAATTCTGGCTTCAATAGTCGCCTTAGTTTACTATTACCGCCCTAAACCCGAACCAGAAATCTGATATGATGCGGCGGAAGAACTTTAATTTATGACTAAGCAAGCTTTACAAAAGGAACTTTTAGAAAAAGTAAAACCGGGGGCAAAACCCAGTGATATCAAACGCTTAAAAAGAAGCAAAAGTGCCGGTGATATTCCCACTGCTCCGCCTTTGCCCGAATCAACTCTGCTTACCGAGAATAAGCAACTAAAAGCTGAATTAGCTCAGTTAAAAGCCACTCCGCCCAATCTTTTCCTCTCTGGCTTACTAGACAC